AAAAATGTAGAACAACCCAAAAGACCCTCACTATCATGGCGACAACTAGAAAAACCCGTTCTTTCCGATGGAGCTAGTTCAGAGTGGTGGATGAAAGGGAGTTTTGATGAGCTGGTTTTCAGAGATAAAATGAGCCCTTTGTAGGTGAGTCAAGAGCAGTGGCATCTTCTATACCCAGGGGCAGGCGGACGCCAGTTCTGGGTATGGGAAGGCTTGCAGCGATAAGGACATGTTTCAGGGACAGAGGAAATCAGCCAGTTACTGGAAGACGAGAGTTAATGTTTCAAGTGGCGGCCACTAGAGTGTTGGAGTCCAAACCTGGTGAGGGGGACATCCACATGGAGGGTTGTACTGGTATGGGGGGGTCAGAACCCAGGCGAGGTAAGGGCAACACGGTGGTCAGTCTGCCTGGTGGGAGGAGTCAATGTCCAAGCAAAGTAAGGAAGACATCCATACAGGTAGAGGAATGGTGTCAGAAAGGGAGACTGATTATATAGCGGGGCATTCATTCATTCAGGATAATGGGAATCAGGTTTCCCGGTATCAGATATCAGCACCCGATATCAGGGTGCTGCCAAGTTGAACAGAAAGAAAACTAGAATGAACCCTATTGTACTTAATTGGAGGTGTTGGTATAAAATCATGGCTTTCAAAATATTTAGAGAAGTGTGTGCGTGCGTGCGTGCGTGCGTGTGTTCCCATTTTTCTACTGAGAGGTCTTGGGACCAGTGATACTTCAAAGAAATGAGCACACTTAACACCCAGGTCCTGGTTTCTGAAATGCCATTCTCCACTTAAAAGCAACCCAGCCTCTTTGGGAAATGGCTGACTCCAGAGTTGGGACAGGGAAAGCCTGGAACACCCAGTTAGAATAGAAAGGAAGTGTTGGAGTAGGTCACCAGGAGGACCGCTGGTTGACCTGTGAGCTGGACCTGGGCACTCAGAGGCTCCTCTCCCATTCCTCAATCCTTGGAATGTGGGTTCCACTTGCCTTTTCTATTCCCAGAGGCTGCCCCAAGGACATAGCCTTGAGATAGCGATGTGGTGCTGAGATATACCATCTGGATGGTATATATGAATGTCCCTTTAAAAAAAAATTTTTTTTAATGTTTATTTATTTTTGACAGAGAGAGAGAGAGACAGAGCATGAGCAGGGGAAGGACAGAGAGAGAGGGAGACACAGAATCCAAAGCAGGCTCCGGGCTCTGAGCCGTCAGCACAGAGCCCGACGTGGGGCTCGAACTCACAGACTGCGAGATCATGACCTGAGCCGAAGTCGGACGCTCAACCGACTGAGCCACCCAGGAGCCCCGAATGGGTCCCATTAAGGTCTCTACAGAAATTTTTAAGATTCTGGTGGGCAGGTGTGGAGATCTACTCATCTTGCAGACACCCAAGACAAGCCTCGAATGTCATTCCTTTGCTTATTAAAACTGCCACCTACCGATCTGGAGTGGCCGCCTTCTTTCTTCCTGCCTTATATGTATGGGGACTAGTTTCAGATTTCACCCAGGGAAAGTCCTGAGGTTGCAGACCAACAGGAAGGAAAACTGATTGGCAAAAAAACGGATAAGCAGATGTCAAGAGGACACAGAAGCCGGTTTGAAAGGCTTCCACCGGCCAAATCAAAGACAATTTAAGCATCAAAAATATGGGAGGAAGAAGCAACATCAGCAAAAATGCCACAGTAAGTTTTGTCCTTCTAGGAAAGTGATGGAATAAACTGCAAAATTTGTCAGAACCAGCATTTTTAGAACTCTGGAAATCAACCAAAATCTCACAATAATTCAGGGAGCATGTAGTCAAGACAAAGAGCTGAATCTCAGTAAAGAACAGTGAGCTCAGGAGCATCTTAACTTACTCTGGTTCGATTCCCCACCCTCCAACTCAGAAGTAGCCCTGAAAAGTAACAGTCTGGATAGCTGGTTCTGGAGGGAGAAGAACACAGCTGGAGCTCTTAAAAATCCTCACTGCTGAGCAGGAGTCATCATTTGGTCTGTCTGATTTCCCTGAAAGCCCACACTTGAAAGGGTAGTCTTCAACTGACCCTGCTTGAACTTGCCCAGTGCTAAAAGCCTCTCTCCAGGGGACACTCCTCAAATGTTTTAACAGGACAGCTGCCTGAGCCAATGAGGCAAATACCAGCCTAATCAAAAGTCTCAAAAGGAAAAGTTAAGGAATGAGAGATGTCCTTGGGGCTTTGAAAAGTTCTGATATATTCTTGGGATCTGAAAGGTCACCTGTACGCACAGGGGTTTGTGCACACCCAGGAAAGATCTGAGAAAGCCCTAAGCTCTCAGTTCTGGCTGGCTTTAAGGCTCTGGGAAAGCAGGAAGTGAAGGCTAAGGCAGAGCTTCAAACTTTCTGGCTGTGTGTTGAAGGTGTGTCTGAACACACAAAGTCCCTCAGCAGAGACTGGGAGACTTTTAGAGGCATTCAAGGAAATCTCTGTCCAGCCATCAGCTAACTTCTAAGCTGAGTAGAGATTTTAGTGGGCTTACATGACAGAGACTTTACAGAATTAGTTCAGAAAAGTCATTAAATAAGCAAAAAAAACAACAAACAACAGTGACAGCAAACCTTCAGGAGGAGGAAAACTCTGATTTCCATAGCTGCCGTATTATTTAAAGTGTCCATTTTTCAACAAAAACATTATGGGACATACGAAGAAACAATGAAATATTACCCATACACGGGCAGGGAGGCGGGGGTGGGGCAGAAAAAGTGACTAAAAACTGTTTCTGAGAGAGCACAGATGTTGGAATTACTAGGCAATGATTCTAAATCAGTGATTTTAACTAAATTGGTATTGATCCTACCTAGATTGTGATAAATTAATATGTTAATAGTAATCCCCAGGGCAACCAAAAAATAATTCAAAAATATATAGTAAATGAAACTAATAACCAAGAAAGACCTAAGACATATAAAAAACAAATAGCAAAATGGGAGATGTAACTCCTAAATTACCAGTAATTACATTAAATATAAATGAACTAAACTCTCCAATTAAAATGTAGAGATTGGGGCGCCTGGGTGGCGCAGTCGGTTAAGCGTCCGACTTCAGCTCAGGTCACGATCTCGCAGTCCGTGAGTTCGAGCCCCGCGTCGGGCTCTGGGCTGATGGCTCGGACCCTGGAGCCTGTTTCCGATTCTGTGTCTCCCTCTCTCTCTGCCCCTCCCCCGTTCATGCTCTGTCTGTCTCTGTCCCAAAAATAAATAAACGTTAAAAAAAAATTAAAAAATAAAATAAAATAAAATGTAGAGATTGACAAAAAATTAAAAATAGAACTACCCTACAACCCAGCAATTGCACTACTAGGTATTTATCCAAGGGATACAGGTGTGCTGTTTCAAAGGGGCACATGCACCCGAATATTTATAGCAGTACTATCAACAATAACCAAAGTATGGAAAGAGCCCAATGTCCATTGATGGACGAGTCGATAAAGAAGATGTGGTATGGATATATAGATAATGGAGTATTACTCGGCAATCAAAAAGAACGAAATCTTGCCATTTGCAACAATGTGGATGGAACTAGAGGGTATTATGCTAAGTGAAATTAGTCAGAGAGAGACAAATATCATATGACTTCACTCATATGAGGAATTTAAGATACAAAACAGATGAACATAGGGAAGGGAAACAAAATAATATAAAAACAAGGAGAAGGACAAAACATAAGAGACCCTTAAATATAGAGAACAAACTGAGCGTTGCTGGAGGGGTTGTGGGAGTGAAGATGGGCTAAATGGATAAGGGGCATTAAGGAAGACACTTGTTTGGATGAGCACTGAGTGTTTACATAGGGGATGAGTCACTGGAATCTACTCCTGAAATCATTATTGCACTATATACTAACTAACTTAGATGTAAATTAAAAATAAATAAATAAATAAAATGTAGAGATTGACAGAATGGCCTAAAAAAGATGATCCAATTGTATGCTGTCTACAAGAGACTTTGCTTATTTTTAATGTTTGTTTATTTTTGAGAGGAAGAGAGAGAGGGGGAGAGGGAGAGGGAGAGAGAGAGAGAGAGACAGGATCTGAAGCGGGCTTCTTGCTGACAACATCGAGCTTGACCTGGGGCTCTAACTCATGAACATGGAGTTCATGACCAGAGGGGAAGTCAGACGCTTAATTAAAACTAACTGAGCCACCCAGGCACCCCCAAGAGAGTCATTTTAGATTAAAAAGAGAGAGAGAGAGAGAGAGAGAGAGAGTAATGTATAACCAATTGAATCAGGTTGGAAACCAGGAGTCCATACATATGCAAAAGGAGAGTTTGATATACACGTTTCAGAGTGACTCTGCAAAATGCTTCATAATCAAAAAGAGGAAAAGAGTAATTACTTAATAGTTGGTTAATCAAGGAAACGTTAAGTAGTGGTTAAGCAGGGACCCAGAGGCCCACCGGCCAGGGTCCTATTCCAAGTACCGCCACTTACAAGCTGTGTGACCTCAGGCAGTTCCTTTCCCTCTCTGTTTCTCAGTTTCCTCATCTGTAAAGCAATAGAAAAACCGTGTCTTCCTCATAGGGCAAATGTGAGATCTCTCAGGGCGCACCCCCACCCCCCAGCCAAAGACCACCAGGAACTCACTCGCGGTCGAACAGATCCAGATTTATTGCTTGTTCCACAAGGGGGAACACACACCCTGGGGAACTGCCAGGCACGTGCCAAACGCTATTGCTACTGAGCACCTATTATTAGAATAGGCGATGTATATACCCAGCACTAGCACCCCGTGGTAAACCTCACAGAAACAGTTCGAGGCAGGGCGCTTGTCCCGCTTCCCACCTGAGGAAACTGAGACTCCGACCAGGCCGGGCCAGCGCTCGCAGGACTGGATAGGGTTGGAACAGCGCCTTGTGACCCCGGGGTTGACCGTGCGGCTCCTGCCCCCACCCTCCGTGCCTTCTCTCCTACTTGTGTCAGCACTTCATTCCTCCACCCTCTTTTCCGAGAGGAAGCAGTGTCCTGTTTTGTGTTCTTCTTCCTGAATCGGGGAGGAATGTTCCTAAGGAGGGGCTGCTGGGGCAGCACGTGGGGTTATAAAAACCACCGCGTGGAGGGGAGCCGGAGAGAAGAGGAGGATGGCGGAGATGTGTGACCCCAAGGAGCCGGATGACCCCGGTGAGGCTGAGCCCCCACCCTGGGGTGACGGCAGGGAGGGCCGGGCTCCCTCCAGGCTCCTGGGGGAGTCAGGTCTGGCCTCCGGCTTGCAGTCCTGACGGCGGGGCTCGGGCAGGCTCGGCTTCAAAGCTCGGCTAAGTGTGTTCTGTCCCGTTCAGAGGTGGAGGTGTTTGGGGACCAGAGACTGGCTAAGAAATACACCGGCCTGCTCAGGAGCTCACGGAGCCTGCCAGGTACCGAGGTGGGCGTGTCCAGAGCGGGCATCTGGGCAAGGGGCAGCTGAGAGGCCCCCGCTCCAGCATGGGGGGTGGGGGGGTGGGGCAGTGTCCGTCCCTGCGGACCTCAGCTCTGCCCGTCTGCTGGTCCTTCAGGGTGTCTGACCCAGGCCCACCTGCCTCTGCTGCTGCTTCTCGTCTCTCTGGGCTTCTTCATGCTCCTGGTGACCACTCTGGTTCAAGGTGAGCCGGAGGCTGGGGGCTCGGAGTCTTGGGTCGCTTTAGGTTGTCCCTCTGGGAAGGTCTCGGTGCTATTCCGCATCGCCTTCTGTGTGGCTGGGGCTGGTTACTACCCCTCTCTGAGCTTGTTTCTTCATCTGTGAAATGTAGCTCGTCTTCCTCCACACGGGACCTAGGCTCCCAGAGACCTTGAAACCAGATTTGACACCAGGTCAGGCCTGAAGCTGGTGCTGATGAAAGGGCAATTCTCGGGGCTCCTGGGTGGTTCAGTTGGTTGAGCGTCCTACTTCGGCTCAGGTCATGATCTCATGGTTCACGAGTTTGAGGCCCGCATTGGGCTCCCTGCTGTCGGCACAGAGCCTGCTTTGGATCCTCCGCCCCCCTCTCTTTCTATCCCTCCCCCACTTGCTGTTTCTCTCTCGCTCGCTCAAAAATAAATAAACATTAAAAAAAAAATTGGGGCGCCTGGGTGGCTCAGTCGGTTAAGCATCTGACTTCAGCCGGGGTCATAATCTCTTGGTTGGTGGGTTCGAGCCCCGCGTCGGGCTCTGTACTGACAGCTCGGAGCCTGGAGCCTGCTTCGGATTCTGTGTCTCCCTCTCTCTGCCCCTCCCCTGCTCACACTCTGTCTCTATCTTCCTCTCTCAAAAATAAATATTTAAATTTTTTTTTAAATAAAAAATAAATAAAGGGGAATCCTCTGGTCTGTTGCAGTCTCCAGGATCCACCAATCCCTGCAGAGAGACACAGGGGACCATCGGGAGAGGAACCATCAGGAGAGCCCTGGCCTCGGTGAAGGGCTAGATGCTGGGTTTGGGGCAGGAGAGGGCTCAGAGGCTGTGTGACTTTGGATGAGCCACCGCATACCCCTCTCCCCAGGGGTGAAGGAGGGAGGGTAGAGGTGGGGGAGGAGACTGGATCCCCGGGTGAGACCCTGGGGACGATGTCAGGCAAGTCATTTTCAGAGCCTCAGTTTTGTTGTGTGCACAATGGACTCTTGGGGTCCATTGTGAAATCCACTGATAATGTTGTCACGGGGCCCTCTCCACACCAAGCACACCCTAGGTGCTTAATAATTGAAGTCCTCTTTTCCCAGGGGATGTTTCTCAGGCCCAGAAACAATCATCCCTGGAGGAGATACTCCAGCAGCTGACCTGGATGAATGCCACCCTGGGTAAGCATCAGACGCCAAGGTCGGGAGGGAGTTTGGGGCTCCCAGGTGGGGCTGGAGCCCACCTTCTATGGCTCCTGGCTTCTCCAGGCTGGGGTCCGTGACACGGATTTCCTGGGGACTGAGCCGACAGCTGAACACAGGGGCCCGGCCCTGGGTTCCCAAGATCTGATGCACCTGCTGGGGGCCTGTCTGTCCCAACCCCACTCTCCTCCCCAGCTGGCCTGTGCCGCCACTGCCCCTGGAAATGGGAACTTTTCCAGGGAAGCTGCTACTTCTTCTCCCTGACCCAGAACACCTGGAAAGAGTCCATCGCCGCGTGTCAGAACATGAGGGCCCAGCTGGTGGTCATCAACAGCACTGAGGAGCAGGTGAGCTGAGCAGAGCGCCCGACTGGGGCGGGACCTCGGGAAGGCCAGCGAAAAGCCTTCTGTCCCTCTTCTGCCCTCCCCGAGATGGAGGCCTGGGGCGGGGAGATGGCAGGAAAGGCTTCCTGGAAGAGGTGGCCTTGGGAAGGTCATGTGAGAGAAGAACATGCCCAAGAGGAACCCATGTGTGAACAGAAAGGGAACTCAGAGCCCTCTCGAGACTGTGCAGAATCTCTCCCCAGACATGAAGCCGAGGCTCAAGTAAACGCGTTTCCACATGTGTACGCACATTATCACAGCCACGACATGCGCGCGTGTGAACACATACAACTTGAGTGAGGGCTATCGGCTGGACCACAGGTCTTCCGTTGGTGGGGGGGGGGGGCAGGGGACCATGGGAATGTGGGCAGACATGGGGAAGGGTGATGTCTCACTGCCCGTCCTCCCCCGCCCCAGAAATTTCTGAAGTCTTGGAATACGAAAAATAGCCAGCGCACATGGATCGGCCTCAGTGACCACCACAATGAGGGTTCTTGGAGATGGGTGGACGACACTCCCCTCCAACTCAGGTGATCTCCCGGAGACAATGGCCTGGGAAGGGTGGGCACTGAAACCCAAACCCGGATGCTCAGACTCTGGAATTGGAAAGCATCATCTGATGGGCTTGCTTGGTGGAGATGCAGAGTCCTGACTCCATCCCAGGGTGGGGGAGTCTGATTCTATAAATCTAGGTGTGGGCCCAGGAATCTGCATTTGTACTTTGCAAGCGCTGATTCCAGTGGGAGTGGTGTTTGAACCCTCGTTTTGAAAACGCTGCCTCTGAATCCTCGCCACTCTCTGACTGCTACTGGGGCTTTTGCCACCAAAGGCCGGGGACTGGGCTGGGGAGTGGGCTCTGGGTGGAGCAGGGGGGCCGATGGCTTTGATGGTGTTCACAGCTTCTGGAAAGAAGGGGAACCCAACAACCACGGGGATGAGGACTGTGTGGAATTGTACAGTGACGGCTGGAATGACAACAGATGTAGTACAGAAAACTTCTGGATCTGTAAGAAGCCCTCGTCCCCCTGCCCGGGCCTCTGAGGGCCAGTGCTCCCCGTGCCCCACCCCGTCTCCAGAGATCAGGCAACGAGCTCATGCATGGAGGCTGCTCGTTTCTCTCGGGCTTCATTCTTTCTGCTTCTCCTGCTGGTGGACTCCCACCCTTCTGCATGGAGGCCTTTAAGGTCCTGAGAGAGATTCCGAGACCCCCTGCTCCTCTAAGATCTGTCCCTTCGTAGGCTGTAGACGTCTCCCTTCTTCTGTTGATGGTCTCAGCCCCTCTCCAACACCCCCCATGACATCCCCTTAATAAAGTCACACACTGCATTATGTGTTCCATTGAACTTCTGTCTATTTTTTCGGCCACTGTTTCACTTACTATAGTGTTAAATTATATTTGATAGAAACTAGGGTATTGTTTTCTTTCACTCGGTTTCTCTCTACTACCGTGTATTTTATTTCTCAGATACAGTTTTGGATTAATTTGTAATTTGGGTTGGGAATATACATATATACATATAAGTATGTACGTGTCTATGTGTCTGGCTATCTATTTATCTATCTATCATCTATCATTTATCTATCTATTATCTATCTATCTATCTATCTATCTATCTATCATCTATCTATCTATCACCTATCAACCAATGTATCTATCTATCCATCTATCATCTATCAATCAGTGTATCTATCATCTATCTATTATCAATCTATTTTCTATCTATCTATCCATCTATCATCTATCCACCTATTATCTATCTATCTATTATCTATCAATGTATCTATCTATCTATCATCTATCTATCTATCTATCCATCTATCTATCATCTATCCATCTATCTATCCATCTATTATCTATCATCTATCAATGTATCTATCTATCTATCTATCTATCTATCTATCTATGTGTTCATTCATTCCTCAACACATCATGTCTTTATACGGCACTTTTAAATGTCCTTCAGTAAAGTTTTGTGACTGTCTTCATAAAAACTTTATTACTAAATGTGTGTGTTAGTGTCCTATTGATGCTGTAACAAATTACCACAAACTTTGTGGCTTAAAACAGCGCAAAGGTACCTCTTACAGCTCCAGACGTTCAGTGTCTTAATTGTCTTCGTGTCCTTAACCTTTTTGATAAGTACTAGTCAATTATTCCTTTTTTTTAAAGTTTATTTTGGGGGCGCCTGGGTGGCGCAGTCAGTGAAGCGTCCGACTTCAGCCAGGTCACGATCTCGCGGTCCATGAGTTCGAGCCCCGCGTCAGGCTCTGGGCTGATGGCTCAGAGCCTGGAGCCTGTTTCCGATTCTGTGTCTCCCTCTCTCTCTGCCCCTCCCCCGTTCATGCTCTGTCTCTCTCTGTCCCAAAAATAAATAAATGTTGAAAAAAAAATTTAAAAGAAAATAAATAAAATAAAGTTTATTTTGATTTTCTTTTGAAGGTGGGGGGAAGGGACAGAGAGAGAGGGAGAGAGAGAATCCCAAGCAGGCCCCACACTGTCAGTGCGGAGCCTAACACAGGGCTCGAACTCACAAACCGTAAGATCAAGAGTTAGACGCTTAACCAACTGAGCCACCCATGTGCCCCTATTTTTAATTTCTTTAACTTTATTTTTTAATTTTTAATTTTTTAAATGGCATCTGTGCCCTTTATTTCTTTTTCTTAATTTTTTTAATGTTTATTTATTTTTGAGAGAGAGAGAGAGAGAGAGAGAGAGAAACAATAAGTGAGGGAGGGACAGAGAGAGAGGGAGACACAGAACCCAAAGCAGGCTCCAGGCTCTGAACTGTCAGCACAGAGTCTGACGTGAGGCTCGAACTCACAAACTATTAGATCATGACCTAAACTGAAGTTGGATGCTCAACCGATTGAGCCACCCAGGTGCCCCGTATTATTTATTTTTTTATAATAGCTATCTCAGTGGATGTGAAGTGCTATCTCATTATGGTTTAGGTATGCTTTTGGTTTGGGGTGTCCAGTGCTCTAGGTCTCCTCAGGAGGCAGAGCTAGGAAATACATGCATGTGTACTAACTGAAACACATACACATAGACTTCTATATTTATTTCTGTATCTATTTGTCTGTGTACATATATTAAAAACTATGAGTTCAGGGATGCTTGGTTGACTCAGTAGAGCATGCGACTCTTGATCTTGGGGTTGTGAGTTCGAGCCCCTGTTGGGTGTAGAGATTACTTAAAAAAAAAAAGCACAAATTCATACCGATACTCTACTTCCTGTCCAACACTGCAGAGTTCATTCTGGCCTTTCCCCTGTGCTTACTTGTAAGTTTTTGTAAAAATTTTTAATGTTTTTATTTATTTTTGGCAGAGAGAGCGCGCGTGTGTGCGTGAGCATGGTGGGGGAGGGGCAGAGAGCGAGAGGGAGACACAGAATCTGAAGCAGGCTGCAGGCTCTGAGCTGTCAGCACAGAGCCTGATGTGGGGCTGAAACCCATGAACCTTGAGATCATGACCTGAGCCAAAGTCGGACACTTACCCAACTGAACCACCCAGTCGTCCCTCCCCTGTCCTTATTTGTAACATCTTTCAGCAACAGTGAGAGACCTGGCTCTCATTATTCACAATATATTTGCTAATCATTTGCTCAATCCTAGAATACACAGGAAGTAGTTTCAGAATTTATAATTCATGTCTCTGTGAGAAACAATTATCCTGTTGTTGAAGTATATCCTTTCATGGGTTCTTCAGCAAAGACTAATGGGTACAGAATTCCTTAACATCTTGTGTGTAATTGAAGGACAGCTGGGCTGGGTATCAAATCTTAGGTTTGTGCTTTTGTTCATTGAGTTTTTGTTTTGTTTTTTAAAGTTTGGGTTTTTTAAAAAAGAGAAATGGGGAAGGGGCAGAGAAAGAAGAAGAGAGAGAATCTTAAGGGCCCCGATGCAGGGCTTGATCTCACAGATGGTGAGATCATGACCTGAGCTGAAATCAACAGTTGGTTGCTTAACCACCTGAACCCCCCCAGGTGCCCAGTTTTGCTGTGTTTTTAAAATTTTTTTTTCAACGTTTATTTATTTTTGGGACAGAGAGAGACAGAGCATGAACGGGGGAGGGGCAGAGAGAGAGGGAGACACAGAATCCGAAACAGGCTCCAGGCTCTGAGCCATCAGCCCAGAGCCTGACGCGGGGCTCGAACTCACGGACCGCAAGATTGTGACCTGGCTGAAGTCGGAGGCTCAACCGACTGCGCCACCCAGGCGCCCCTTGCTGTGTTTTTTAAATGACACTCATTGTTGTCTTGTTTTGAATGTTAGTTTTGAGAAGTCTTAAATCAGTAGAATTCTTTTGACTTGGTAAATTGTTTGATCTGGAGGACTTGAAGATTTAATCTTTGAAATTGAATAATTAAAAAATATGTTTCAGAGTCGGCCATTCTGGGCTAATTTTCCTAAGTACCTGCTGAGCCTTTTCAATGTGTAAATTCAGGTGATTTTCTATTTCTGAAAAAAATTTTTTTGAGTATGGTTTAAATATTTAGCTCTGTTTTATTTTGTCTTTCTTCTCCAGGGACTCCAAAAATACACACATTATTCTTTCAGTCTGGACTTCCATTTTAATCCATTTCTCTCTGACCCTGTTTGACTTCTTTCTCAAGTCATTATTATTTTTTGTTGTTGTTTTCCTGTCTTTTTTCTACTACGCTTTATCAAATTTTCGTTGGAGTCTATTCTCTCTTGAGTACCTTATAATTTAGTCTACAGGTCTGAGATAATTTTGCCTTTTCTTTCTATTTATTTCCTTCATTTATCCCTGTCCGTGTCAGTATTTTAGTTTTTGAATTTTTGATGTAAGGAGATTTTTTTTTTTTCATATGGGCAAATGCCCGTTTGACTACACAGTATTGAATTCTGTTTGGAGCGCTGACTTACAATTTACTTCTACATCTTGACTCTTTTCTGGGAGTCGTTCTTCCTTTGTTGATTTGTGTGGATTTTCGTTTCCTGAATTTTTGCAATTACTCTCTGTGGACTTAACTATGTTCCTTTTGTTCGGGTTTTTGTTACTGGGAACAGTCCATGAGCTATGAGGCTTGATGGCGCCCTCTTCTGTCAACACAGCAAAGGGACTTACTTTAGTATTTTTTTGTTCTGCTTTGTTGGTGGCAGGAATAGGTTGAGAGACCTCCAGTTCATAGTTTTCTTTTGTCTTGAAGGGCTCTACATTTTCCCCTTCCATTCCTCTTCACCACCAGATTGCCAACCAGCTCCTCTCTCTTCCTTTTTCCCCTTTCTTTCTCCGGAAGCTATGCGTATTGAAGACTGTCCCTTATATTCATTCCTTTTCTAGAATTTGCACTCTCTCTCATCTGCTCAGGCATCACTGCAGTATTTTCAGACGTAGGGTGAGCTTAGTCTATCCAGAGCTAGGTCTAGATCAACCTCAGATTGTTTTGCTAGTTTCCCTTTTTTGTATCCACTGTAGGTTCCCTCCATTGCCTTTGATTCAAGCATGGAGCACAAGGGTGGGGCCCTCATATTTCAATTCCATGATTCTTCACTTTTCCTCATGATCCTTTTACATTCTGTCATTCTTTGTGTTCAAGCTATACCATACCTTGCTTCCCCCTCTTGTTTTCTGTTGCTTTGGGAAGAAATATTTGGGAAACAGATAGATCTCCCCATGGTGGGACCCTCTTGAAATTCTTCATAACTGTTCCGATACTAATGGATAATGTTGTCAACACCAAAAGACATGAGTGGCATTGGTATTGTTTTTCTAGGCTTACAGGGGACTCCCAATTGAGTTGACCTTATTTGCCAGACTGAAGATTGACCACGGCCAAACCACAGCCAAGATGGTGGTCTTCAGTGGAGGGTGGGATGCAGACAACAGAGGTTATGGCATCAGTAAACAGAACTGCTATCACTAGATATATAGGGTACTAAGGAAAGGTCAAGTGAAAGCTAACAGTTCAGCACTATTCACAATAGGCAAAAGGAGGAAACAGCCCAAATGCCCATCAACCGATGAACGGGTAAACAAACTCTAGTATATTCATACAAGGGGATATTATTCAGTCATAAAAAGGAACTAAGTACTGACACCTGCTACAACATAGATGAACTTTGAAAACATTATGCTCAGTGGGAGAAACCAGACACAAAATGTCACATATATGGAATGTCCAAAGTAGGCAAATCTTCGTAAAGGCAGAAAGCAGATTCGTGGTTGCCAGGGACTGGGGGGGGGGGGGGGCGAGTAAGTGCTAATTGGTCCAGGATTTCCTCTTTTGGGTGATGAAAAGTTCTGGAACCAGAGAGTGGGGATGGTTGCGCAACATTGTGAATGTGCTCAATGCCTCCGAATTGTACACTTTAAAGT